AAGTAGATCTTTAAAAGTCTTTTTTAATTAGAAAGTATATTGCTAAAATTAATATTTGAAATTTTATTAAAAAAATAGTTTAAAAAAATAAACGCAGACAAATTTGCCTGTATTACAATTTAAGGGATAACAAAAAACTAACACTGGCCATATTGGACCAATGTCTTTACATTTATAACAAGAAAAGATATCCAATTAGAACTAATATCAATACCAAGCGAATCTCTAGTATTCACAAAATTACATACCAAAACAACCTTCGATTCTAATATATAAGAAATAATAAATAAGTTGACTATACAATATATACACTTGCATGGTTTAATCACACAACAATACAAAAAACAAGAAAACTAATCAGAAACATACAAAACACAAAAAACCTAGCTATATAGCACTTGCAAAATCAGACACAAAAGTGGACCAACATACAAAACATCAACTAAGAATTAATATATGCATTCATTAATTATAATGACAAACCAACAGCTCAACAAACACATCTAATCCACTCCAAATTAAAGGCTTTCAAGCTAAAACTTCTTCTGGATGAACTGCCAACCCTACAGAACCTAAATAAATAAAATTCATACAGATACTCAGAAACCCAATACAAAATTTGCAATGCAGAAGATGAATCGAATATACACTGGCTAATATACTCAATGAACCCAACTAATATAAACATTTTTACAAACAATATAGTTAGAAAATTTATAGATAAAAATCAAAAAGATACAGCAACAAATAGTGAAAAACAAGAATTTATAAATAAATTTTTCAATAATTTTAACTCTACAGCCAACAGCAATACTATAATATTAATCTAAGATCTCATTACAGATGCATTCAAACAAGACTTAAAATTGATTACACTTACTACAAATAAAACAAAACCTAACACAGTCAAACTACTTCACAAAATTTGCAAAATGATCTACAACCAAACATGAAAAAACCACTACAAAAACTACAACTCAAATAACAAATAATAACCAAATACAAAATACAAATAACAACCTTATACAAAACACAAACCAACAAAATATACAAATGAATACAAATTATAATCCACAGCAAACAGCTCAGAATAAATAGATAAAATGGACCAAACAATACTACATGCATAATGCATCCTCTAATACAATATATTAAACACAATTTGAGTGAAGACTTGGTGCCTTCTCTTAGTAAAGCCTAGGCTAAAGGTAAACTAACCTTAGTCAAAAGTTTTTAGATAGCTTAATTTCAAAATATATAAAAATATCTTAATATTAAATTATAATAATAATACAAAATATTATTAATAAAAAACTAAGATCAGGTCTTACTCTTTAAAAAAAAAAAAAAAAAATTTATCTTTAACTTAACTTGAATCATTAACCTTGTCTATAGGAGTTTAAAACTTAACCAATAAGCTATAAAGCCCAAACCTTCAAATTAATAAATTTACAAAAATTTAAAAATAATTGTTTTACTAATAAAATCAAACAAATAGAAATAATTTTTTACTTTAACTTAAATAATACTTCTATCAAATCAAATCAGACTAAACTTTTATTAAGTTTAAGTCTGATTTAATTTTTAAATCAAATTTACTGTATTTTAATATTTTAAACTTTTAATCAAGTTTGAGTTTGATCTAGACTTGATTCAAAGTTTGCAAATTAGTTTATATATATAATTATTGTCCGAAGCATTAGCGAAGACTTATAAGTCTAGGCAAAGTGAATACAGGTGTATGCAATGTCCGGTGCCTAAGGCCAATGAAATTCAAGAAATTTGGGTCCCATGACCGATCTGCAGTCTGTGTACTACTGACTAATCAGTTATATTAACAGTTAGCAGAAATTTAGGTCCCGTGACCGATCTGCAGTAACTAATCCACACGTTTGGAGTGACGGAAAGATAAACAAAAAAATATGTAAATTGATTCACTAACTTTCGCCTTATCAGATTCAGCTGATTCTATATAACTGGTTCTAGAACTAAGATTACGTGCCTCATAGTGATAAATCATAACTAATTTGCTATATAACAAAATCCACGTTTGCTGTGATTTTACTACTGTACTATTTACCGTTACCAACTTTACCTTGCAAAATGAATGTAATAATCTATAGTGCAGACATTAGAATGCCGAATAGCACATGGTAGTGACGAATGGACGTCGTTGCCAAAGAGATAGGAATAGAGGGTCCACCAAAATTCAGCAAATCGGCCCGAATTTGGGTCGGAATAGGCCGGAAATTAATAAATTTTTTCTAAAATCACACAAAATTTTACTAATAAAGTGGCAGCCTATGCAAAGTAAAGCTGCCCAAATGATAATTTTGCTATAATATAGTCGGCCAGTATTATTGCTTAAAGCCACTTTGCTCCGGCCCATCCCTGACCCCAAATTCGGGCCGATTTGCTGAATTTTGGTGGACCCACTAATCTATTCGAGAGACTCTGACCTAAATTCCTGCAACTATAATTGGTCCATAAAAAATTCTTGATAATCGAAAGCATACGTATCATGACTAGGAATTGGAATCGGTTTAGTCGACTAAAAAATCTGTATAATTAACTATCGTATATACTGACTAATTAGTCGATTATAATAGTCGACTAAACCGATTCCAATCCCTAATCACGACTAGAACGATCAACTTAACAAGTATTTGACCACATTTAACTAATATACAGGTTTTCCTTTCCGTCATACTTAAACTGTAATCTTTAGTCTTGAATCTATATAATATTAAGTTTACTCGTTTATCTGTAATAATTTTATCGTTTGGGACTAGTGATGTTAATTAAATTAATTTGGTCATCTTAAAAGCCGATATTAAAATAAATTTCGTTTTTGCAGATTTAAAATATTGAAAACACAATAAATAATTTTAGCATTATATTCGCTAAAATATAAATTATATGAAATAATAACAGAATAAATATATACGTACGTATACACTAAGCATATACAAATAGATATAATAAATGCTATTGCTACGTATGTATTTTAATATGCAGCATTGAACTACGTATAATTAATACGTACTCAATTCGCTATTGCTATTACTGTATACGTAGAATTTTATCGAAATATTAATTTTTTTGTTTTCAGGTTTTTTTTTAATGCTTAATATTATATTACTAATATCTATAAATATATATGAATTACTATGAATTAAATTCATCATTCATTTCAAACATCCGATTTATCAAGTTTTCCCATATTTCCAAACCAATTATGGTATTTGTTGACACATTAACTCGCAATTGACTATCGGAGAAGAATAATATATTGAAGATGATTCTTCAGTCATATTAATGAAATAAGTTTAATTCAAAGATTTATTATTCTAATAATTACGTTAATTAATTTTTTTTATATTATTTACGTCAATCTTGATTTATATCATGGGTATCTGATATTCAACACTGTATGTACGTATATTTTAGAATTATAAATACTAAATTTAATTATGGTATATACTGTATTATTGCAATTTTCGCAATTACTATAATTAAAATACTTTTGCGCAAAAACTATTTTGCTTATTGTCTGGAGCGTAGCGACACTCAATTTCTACGCATTAAGTGATACAAAAGTTACGTTTCGACCATCAAACGTTTCTTTTAAAGTCAAAATTTTCTTAAATAAATCAATATTATTCTAAAAGTTTGTTATGAATTAAGTAACGTAACCTTTATTAATATATTTTATTTTTTATTTTTGAGTCGGGTTTAATTTAGGTTTGGAACGTATAATATAAAAACCTAATTCTTAGGTTTTTAATTTGGATCCTAAAGGTTTTATAACTTGAACCAAAACTAAACTACCTTTTACCTTTACCATCCTTAATCAGGATCCAAGCACTATCGACGGGGAATTCCTCGACCACGACCACTTTTTAGTGCCCTTTGCATACCACCCCTTGGCATTGGTGGTCCTGCTTGTGGTTTGTCAGAGGCTGGATTTTTGACAGTTTCATCAACGCTTAATATCAAACATGCTGCTTCAGTCGCAGCAGAAATAGAATTTGTTTTCACAAGTGCAGGTTCCCAAACAAATGCCGCAAAATTGTCAGCTACTGATTCAGAATTAATATCTACACCATACCAAATGGCACCTAAAAATATTTGTTTAGACACGTCAATAACATAACAAAAATAGTATATGAAATAAAATTACCTTGTGCGTGTTTCATCCGTAAATTATTTAAAATATCTGTTGCGTCAAAACCTGCATTATCACATAATTGACGAGGAATTACTTCTAACGCACGAGCAAAAGCGCTAATAATCAATTGTTGCTTTCCCTCGATTGTCCGAGAATGCTCGCGAAGGTATTTAGACAATTCCATCTAAAATAAAATCGTTAAGAATCCATTAATTAACAATTCATACCAAAGGCTTTTTCAAAAAAAAAAAAAAAAAAAAAAAAACCTCGGTAGCACCACCGCCAGCAACTATTAAATTATTTTTAATAGTTCTTTTGACTATCATAATTGCATCATGTAAGCTTCGTTCAACTTCTGCAATAAATTGTTCAGCACCTCCCCTTAAAATTAAAGTACAAGTCTTTGCTGCTGGACAACCATTAAGCAGGTTGAATCTTTCCCCGCCAATTTGTCTTTCATCAAAAGACTCGCATGTGCCCAAATGTTTATCTTCAATATCTGAACACGTTGACTGTATAGATCCACCAACCGCATTTACTACACGATTAAGATCTTCGGCAGGAACACGGCCAGCACAAAATATATCTCTATCAGCGAAATATTGAGTGGCCAAATCACCTATAGGCAACTTTGATAATACTACTTTAGCTCCAGTTTTAACGATGGCTTCGAGCTTTGAATATATAATAGACCACTCGGCATCAACGATGGCCTGATATTCCTATTATTTTATCCGAGATAAATTATTTTAGTAATAATAAATAACAATAAACCGAGATTATATTAATTACAAGTACATACATTTACGTCTTCTATGCGAACTTCTGCATTATCCTTTTCAGCTTTCAATTCCAATTCGACATTCAATGATAAAATTTTTGGATTCTTAAAAGATTTAGGTTGCTGTTCAAATCCAGCATAAGAAAAAGTTTTTTTGAAAGCAACTCCATTAATAAGTAGTGAGTCCTTTTAAATTTGTCCGTCATATGTAATTAAAAATGATACAAAGGATTACGTTCAAAAATTAGTGATAATCATCTGATTATTGAGCGAATTAGAAAATAGAGCAACTCACTTGCATGGCGCCACCAGGAATCCTTTTAATACCGATAAGCTTTTCATTTAATTCTTCTTGATCTAACGTCAATACAGCATTGACAACCATGTCAGCGAAGAAATCTTGGTGCGAATGAATTAACTTGGATGACATTGCAGTTTTGGAGCATTTTATAAGCAAATCACGGAATTCACTTTAAATCAAGAATTAATTAATATATTTCTATAAGTCCAGATATGGAATGGCTAAATTAAACTCACTCCTTATTATCTTGTTCAATCCTAACTGCAATTTCTTTAACTTTGTTAATTGCCTATATAATAAGTAATAATCACAAGAACTTTTAGTATTTTAATCCCTAAAGGTCATAGACAGGTCTAAAAAACTAAAACTTTTACCAATTGGGCTGCTTTTCTATAGCCTTTAATTATTACATAAGGACTAACACCTTCCTCAATGTATCCTTTGACCTCCTTTAATAATTCGCCTGCGAGTAAAACTACACTTGTTGTTCCATCTCCGACCTATATTATTTAAGTTATTTTTCTATCTTAATTTACATCTTTTTCGTTATTTAATATTTTGCAATAAATATATATATACTTCAGCATCCTGCGATCTTGCGATATCAACGAGAGTTTTAGCAGCGGGATGTACAATATCAAGGAGTTTCATGATTGTGGCACCATCATTTGAGATTGTAATTTCACCTGCCAAAAAATATTATATAAACTCCCAAATTTACTATGGAATCCGACCACCACAGTTGAATAACAGTGTTACTTTATTTAAATTTTACCTTTTTCATCAACGATCAATTTATCCATGCCTCTTGGTCCTAAGGTCGTCCTCACAGTATCAACCACAGCAAGGCAAGAATTTATGTTAGATAAAAGTTGACCGCGACCTTGGGACGCATCAGTACCTTCTTTCAGCAAAATAATTTGTGGTTGCTAACAAAATAAAATATAAAAATATAATTTATATAGGATACTCTAGCATTTTTAAAGATCTTTGATTAAATCATTGTCGCTTGCTTGATAAATCAATTTTATGCTAACGTTCACACTATTCTTGAAAACAAAGAAAAAAGAAAAAAAAAATACCAGCATTGGGAGACTCCGGCCAGCCATTGTAATAAACTTTTAGTCTTTGTGGAAGAAAGGGTAAAAACTCTGCCGCAGCTTTGTAGATCTATTTTTAAAAACTTTTGAGTGCATCTATTTGCGCAACATCTTGCACTTCGGCCAATCAGAATTAGTCACTGGTATAGCATCTTCTATGGTAATTAGTTTTAAATTAGAATTTAGTTATAAAAGTTATATGTTAGGAAAACGACCCTCCGAGGCTATGTTGATTTTATGAATAAAAATTAAATTTACCAGCCACCTAGTTATCCAATTTTAATGAACCTTTTTTTAATTGTTATTCACAAAACAAACATAGCCTCGGAGGGTCATTTTTCTAGCAAAGATCCCATGTATAATACAAATATGTGTTTTTAACAAAATTTGTAAATTCAATCGAAACTCCCAATTTCAGTCGACTTAGCTCCAGCTGCAACAATACACATTCGCAATTTGAATTCGGGTAAAGTTTAAAAAGTATTAAACATACAGCATGATAAACACAGCATCTTTTTGATCAAGCTTTAAAAGTAGCAAAATTCAATTGATAACAAATTAAAATAATTTTTTTTTGTTTTTTTTATAAATATAACTTTTTTTTTACAAAAAAAAAAAAAAAAAAAAAAAAAAAAAAAAAAACAAGGCAAAATTCCTTTTTTGTTATACATATTTTGTGCTAAAAGTTCGAAATACAAGTTACTATATATAATATACAGCAGCGTTGTGCAGACCAAAATTATAGATGCAACTTCTTTCGTCATTTCCTATTTGCAGCAATTAGATTTATATCTTGAGAGAATCAACAATTGTCAACTGCCCCAGAGACATCAAGTAAAATAGTAAAGTCCCCTTTTGTCAGCAAGGATGTATATTGTTTGGTTGTCATATTGAGTGAGAGTGGAACAAGATCATATCGCTCCTATCAGGAACGAAAAAAAAGAATAATTCAATAAAGTATTTTTTTATTTTATTTATATCACACAGAAACGTAAGAGAATCAACACATAAAAAGAAACAAAAATGCGGGACCATCGATAACGCAATAAAACGGTAGACAAATTAGCTAAACTAGAAGTGTGTATGATTATTTTTTGCATGACCGTTGTTACCAATTGATGGCGATGATTGAAGAGCGAAAGAATCCGTTGGAATAGTAATAGGAGGAAAGAAATCAAGTGCAGGGGTAGAAGGATGTTCATCATTTAATGAAGTAAATGCCTGGTCAAATTCACCTCGTTCTTGGTTGCCTCTATTATCACGATCACGGTTCTTATTGGAACTGCGCTCGAGCTCTCTACTTTTATCCTCATTCATGTCCCAATATTTAGATCTTTCACGCGGAATTTGACGCTCATAAGTATCCTTAGTAATAGTGCCCCCATTATTGCGTTCTGATTTAACATCTCTAGTTTTTTCCTCTTTCACATCCCAGCTTCTTTGTCTTTCATCTCGTTCTCGGTCTCGAGCTCGCTCCTGAATATTAGTAACAGTAGCAGTGGTAACGCTAGATTCATTTTGCTCATCTTCATCTTCTCTACTTTTTTCAACAACATCCCATGGTTTACGTCTCTCGCGCCTATAACGATCATAGTTATCAGAATACACATCATTTGGGTTGCTATGAATCTTTTTTATATCTCTTTCTTTCTCATTGTTGACACCCCAATGTCTTGACTTTGGACGATCTCGCTGGAAAGTCTCATTATTTAAAGAACTTGCACTAGTCCCAATAACATTATCATCATATGATCTCACATGAGTCTGACTATTATGTATCATAGGAGAATAATGATTGTAACCAGGATTGTGCGCATCATTATAATGATAATTATAATCAACATCACGTCTAGAATCAAGTTCATGACCACGTGCAGCATCAAAACGAGGAGGTCGATCTCGATCATATCGACGTTCATAAGTTGCAATTGGTTGTCTAGCACCTGGAGAAAGCGAACGTCGTGCAGAATAACGTGGCCGCGGAGATACCGACCGACGGGCAGCTGAATATGTCGCAGGATGGTAATAATAATCATTGAAACGCTTGTAGTTGTCCCTGTATGTTGAATGACCTGGTGGTGAGTGACGATTAGCATATGGATCCAATTCAGTATCTCGATATCGAACAAAATCACGATCCCTTAATTCTTGTTCTCTATTATAAAATGGAGTCCTAACGCGATCTACTTCTCTACCGTATTCATAGCCTGATGTTCGATTACGAGGCAATTCCCTTTCCATTTCGTAATAACGTGTTTGATCGCGCGATCGTACAAAATCTCTTTCTCTTTCCATTAATCTTAATTCTTTTTCTCTTCGATCTCTTTCGATTTCCCTCTCTCTTTCCAAATGTTGCCTTTCTCGTTCACGGTCTCTTTCCATCAGACGTTCTCTATCTCTCTCTCGATCAAATCCTCTATCTCGTTCCCTATCACGTACTTGATCCCATTTCTTCGCAAATTCCATTGAATGGCCATCATTATAATAATTTTTTCGTGGCATTCTTGACGATGATTGCGGAATGTCAGAATAAAAAAGAGGGGATCGAGGTTCATGACGCACTGATGTTATGTGTTCAGAAAGGGCTGAACGATTTGGAGATGATGCCATTACTGGAGGTAAAGAAGGGTGAGGGGATGTATCAGTGTGCAAAGCTTCAGATTGAGAATAATACGAGTCACTTTGTTGTATACTGCTGGAACGTGCTCGTTTGCGACTATTTTTGGATCTGTCCTTTTCCTTTTCTGAATATACTTCTCTGTCGTAAAGTGTATTATCGCTCCTCCCAGATAATTTAGAATCATGCAAATGAACATGCTCATGTTTATGATTTTTTTGATTGCCAATATCATCATCTTTTTCTTCATTAACATGTTCATCTGTTCGAGCGCGCTCATATTCATGATCTTTATCGGTACGAGACAGATTTTTACCTGGTTGCATCTTTGACGAGGAATGATACGATTCGTGTGGCTCTATTAAAGGATTTCCTCTGTCCCTTTTACTATCAAACTCTTCTCTTCGACGTTCAATATCCCTATCACGTTTCTCAAATTCGTTATCTCTCCTACGCATTATGTCTCTGCGATATTCAACCTCACGGCGAGTTTCATTTTCTCTCCGATCATCAATATCTCTTTTCTCGAATCGACGATTAATATCTCGCCTATAATGGGGGTCACTTCTATAATCGAAGTCCCTTTCTCTTCTGTTACGTAATTCATAATAATTTTTTCGTCCGTGATCCATATCTCTGCGATAGTCATTTAGTCGCCTATAATCTTGCATATGATCTTTTTTTCCTTCATAACGATCATCGATCGGTCGTTCTTCAGCAGCCTCAACACGTATAGGACGACCATCAATGGGTTGACCATTCATTGCTTTAATTGCGTCTAATGCAGCATGCGGTTCTTCGAAAGAAACGAATCCATAGCCTTTACTTCGACCTTATATAATTTACAATTAAAAGATAGAATCAATAAACTATCCTTAAGCTATTATCCATATATGCTTACCAGTATTTTTATCTCTAATGACAAGTGCTTCATTTACAGTTCCAAAATGTTTAAATTCTGCTCTGAGCTCTTTATCTGAAAGTTTCCAGGAGAGATCACCAACAAAAACTCTCGTTCCACTAACAGTTGTTCCAGGCCTATTTCCTGAATCTTTAGAATTAGTCGTATCCAGAATGGCTTGCGGAGGAGTGTCTACTGGTGTAGTGCCCCTAATGTCATTGATTTGTGGATTAGAACTTTGTGAAGATTGTTGCGGAGGGGTACTTTCTCCATATAGGCCATTCTTATAATTATTCCGGTTTAATTTAACTGGTGAAATTTCTTTGGGGGTGGTTGGACGAATACTGTTATCATGGCTGTCAACGATCTCAACATTACTTTCATTATAGTGTGCATTAAATTCTTCGCTATTAAGTAATTCTTCCTGTACAAGACACTGTTCGTTAAGTGCAATTTCCTCTTCGTTCTCATTCTGCAAAACGTGATCTACGCTAACTGCTTGTTTAATTTGGGAGTCCATCCTAAAAAAACCGTTATTTTTATTTACTCTGCTATACGTTGATGAGCCCCTTCTAAAATTTTTTAAGGATTGCGCCCTACGACTCAAAGGCACAGTCAAAGGTACTGTCTCTTTTGTTGGAAGGTATTTCTTTTGCATTCTCATGCAAATAAAAAAAATTTTAGACTATAAAGTGTTCATTAGAAAGCGTGACCATAGTGTACATAACAGGTAATTGGTGTAGCTGATCAAAATCTGGCCTACACTATTTAAACCCTAGTCGAATTACTTTATTGGTCGATAACGATAACGATAATAATGATAACGATAAATTGATCATACTGAAAAAAATTGAAACTCCGTGATAGAAATTACTTGAACAAGTTGACCATTAATTATTTATTTTGATTTGTTACTCGTACAGCTACCTAAAATCCTGGTCCATTGCTAAAAATGGTGCCTTATACAATTAAGTAAATGCTAATTGTGATGACTTCAAATAGGAGTGAAAGCTATTTACGTTACTGATTATTGTCATGAATTGCTATCGCAACTTCCATGACAAATAATCGAATGTAAACACATTTCACAAGTTAACGCTGCATCAAAAAATAACGTCAAGACAGTTGTTAATGATGCGACTTCAGCATTTATTAACATTTAGAAGACTAGATATATTTTTTTGCTAAAGATATACTGTATTTATAGATAATGATAGAAGCGTAGCACTAATGAAACGACTGATCTTTACAGTTGTAAATTTTATGATGAAAGTAAGTATACAAGATTTATCGATTTAATTTTTCTTACATTCCTAGGAACAAAATCTTGATTAGTACCCGGTGGGTACTTCGTTAGGTGGTGGGTATTTTACGTGGGGGAGTTATATACGGAAGATACTTTAAATCCAATTAGGCTGACCAATCACTTAATAGGATTATAAAAATATATAAAAGATGTCACGCACAATATAAATTGCGTTTTAGATATACCCGGGTCTTTTACAATCATGTTTACGACACATACTTGACTAATCCCAGGTACAAATCGTGGGGGGTACTATTTGCCGCAAATTACGGTAATAGAACAATGCTTTCAGGAAATTATTTATCCTAATTATTTCTTCTCGATTCAAACATGTTCTGCTAACCGTTTGAATATATGAATGATGCCAAAGGGAAACCAGAATCCGGGCCTTAAAGTTTTATTCATTATTTATCAGATTCAGCCCTGGGCGACACAGATATGTCTCAGATCAGGGCTGAGTCTAGTAAATATAAATAATAAACTTGAAAGTCCGGAGTCTGGTTTTCCCTTTGCATCACCCATATTTAATGAATTTCTGACTGTGAACGTGATCAATGATAAATCTAATGACAAGAATCTGGGGATCAATTATTACAGTATCTTTAAGCTAGAGACCTGCAAATTACCAATTTTTGTAGCCCGGCCCGCTTTTACAGCTGTTATCATTATTCCTGGGACACCTTATGAAAAATTAACCGAATGATTATTCTGCCGATTCGATAAGTTATTATAACGTTTATTATTTACGAAGATAGTCTAAAGCCAGGTACGTACAGTAGCCAACAAAAGTAACGCCCGATGATAGTAAAACATATAATATATAAAAGTCAATATTCTTTTTATTTAAGAATTTTTTTTTTTAAAAAATGATTAGTAAATTCAATATTTATATTTTATAATATATGAGTTTCATCGAGGCAAACAAATTGAGATTTTTTTTTTTTTAATTATGAAGTTTATGATTCAAAATTTCATATGTATAGGTTTCCTCTAACCTATTCTAGCAAATCAATTAATAGCAATAATTAATTGCATTATATAGAAAACTAGAAGATATAATGTCACATTGGGTGTCTAATATAGTAATATAAATGTAGCTTTGAAATCTTTAATGTAGAATTTCTTTTTATTTTATTAAATAAAGTTTTAACTATGATATTTACAAAAAAAATAAAAAATTTTATATAAGGAAGGCATGCTTAACTTGGTGCAGTGCCTAATTTGACACATAATAATATCTCAAGAACTATTGATCAGAATCACATGATTCTGATACCATTTGATTTGTCTCGATGAGACAAATCAAATGGTATCAAAAGCATATAGTTTTGATTGATAGTTTTCAAGATACTCCATTTAACCAAAATAGCCCAAGGTAGATGTATCTATTTTGATATTTACAATAAATATCATGTGATGTATCGATCAGAATTGCAAGATTTTAGTATTATTCAATTCATCTCAATAAGACTAATAGAATGGTACCAAAATCTTGTGATTTTGATCAATACATCATATTATATTTATAGTAAATATTATATCTGTATCAAATTAGACACTACATCAAATTAGAAAAATATTTTTTAAACAACTTTTGATAAGTGATATCTTATAATTTAGTGATTAGAATTGGATGATTTTGGTACTATTTGATTCATCTCAATGAGACAAATCGAATAATACTAAAATTATTTTGTTCTGATCGATATATTATATGATATTTATCAAAAGCATTAGCTGCATTAAAATAAACATGCTTCTTTTATAAAACATATAAAATTTGTAAATTTGACTTTAAAATTAAATATAAATTTTAAAATTTTTTTAAAAAAAATTTAACTAATTATTAATAGTAATAGTAGTGCTATTATATTTTAAAGCCAATATATAAAATATTATTTTTATAAAAAAATATTAGTTTTAATATAATATAAAACTTACAATTTAATTTTTTTTTTTAATTTTCAAAGGTGAAGCCATACCTCTATCTTTATTAAAATTCAATTAAACTTCTTTACAAATTAGACTTACAATTCAATTTTATGAAATTTATATAGTAAAAACATAATAAAAATCTAAAATTTTAAAATTATTAAAATTCAAAGTTTTAATAATAAATATTTTGTAATTTTATATGATTAAAAAATTTTCACTGAAGCAAAATATATCTGATTTTTTTTGGTAATATAATTTTCTAAAAAGGATTTTATATATACAGGGGTAGCATATTATTGTGAACACTTTTTGAACTTTAATTGTTCAAAATCGGGTAAGTAATCACAGCACAAAATTTATATTATGTGACTGGCAAATTCTATGGTACAACATACTAAAATTTCATGCAATTTCGTTAAATTGTGCAGAAATAATGCAAAAGGCAGGACAAAGTACCATTTTTGGATATGTACAAAGATCAGTTTTACGAATTTTTTTTAAAAAAAAAAAAATTTGTAAAAAATCGAATTGTTGTTCAAATCACATCAAATTTTACTTAAATGTAACATGACACTCAGGTAATGTGATGTGATATAAAAAATTATTTATTTGTATAACAGATCGACAAAATGAAAAAAATCATCTTTATTTTTTTTCTCACAAAAAAATAGGCATAAAGAAAGACTTAAGCGAAAGTCAAAGAAGAGTGATAATCTATGGTCACTAGTATAGAGATTCACTTTGTACTATTGTGGCTGCAGTTGGATGTGGTAAATTTGCTATGTTGAATATAGTAAAGAAGTATAGTAAGGTAGGTGCAGAAGCACAAAAAAAAAAAAAAAGACCCAGTCATCCAAAAACCCTAACCCCTACTAAATATAAAGACCTAAAAAACTTAATTACTAATGGCAATCACCATCTTAGTCTTATCTAAAGCTGTTAAAAGTTTGGACCTATCGGTTCAAACTTCACAAATAGGAACTTTGATTAGAACTGGTTCTTGAGTCAGTCTTTGAAATCATATAATAATGTGATTTACTAATACTATCACTTATAGATAATGATAACAATAATTTATATCTTAAACCTTTTATCATACTTTCTTTACTGCTATTGCTAAAATACATATATATAATATATAAAACTATTTTATTCTATATTTATTTTTAGAATTTCCACCTCATACCAACTCTTTATATATAAAGAGGCTCTTGTTGATTCTTCAAAAAGGCTGTTTCTTTCAAGATTTAACATATGTTTGGCCACAAAAAATGTATGTTCGCAAGGAATGCTTGTAGCTTGCAGTGCAAAATAGTTAGCTGCTATTAAAGCTACATTTAAAAAGTGGTAGGCTTTTGTTTTCCACCACCATAGTAGATTAGTACTTGGTTCTGGAGATAGCGAAAGATAAATAGCCAGTTCATTTGATGTAATTTCCCTATTTTCATTTGATTTGCCCAGATTCCAAAAATATTCCAATAGATTTAGTTTAGGTTCAATTTTCTCTCTATTTATATGAAGAGAATAAAAGTTTTTTAGACTTTCAATAGTCGATTAGTGTTCTTCTTCAGTAAAGGCCTCGAATTTAATAGACAGATCAAGGAGAGTTGAAATGGCTGAAGTTTGCGAAAGATAAGTTCAGTATTTCATTATTTTGTTTTTTTATATCTGAGCTGCATCATGATATATACTTATATTTGTTTTTTCAATGTAGTAGTTGAGATGCATTAGAAGTTTTTGAAAAATGATTCATAATGAACTATATAAAGGTAATGAGGTTTTCGATAATTCCAATATGGCTTTGTAAAACAGTTCAAGAAACTGAATTATTTCTTTAACTATTACCCAATCTTTAGTTTCTAGATAATCTTCTTTTAATGTGGGATGAAGTATTACAAGATTATCTATAATATCTTGAATTTCAATGAACCATTTTATTATGAGATAAGTGGAATTCTACTCTGTCTAGCATTGAGCTTAGGATGGAGGAACGGGCAATTATAAATAGCGAAAATTCTCCTTAACTTATTCAAAAGCAAAGGAGAATTTCTAATCTTATTACATATACATTGCACTTTTTTTTCTGTTTGCTATAATGTTTTAGACTATCTTTGACCGTAAGATTCAAAATACATGCAGCACACCATATATATAAGAAATTCGAATTGATATGATTCTGAAGATAACTTAAACACATTTGATTATTAGAAGCATTATCTCCAGTGAAACCCTATTGTGGTAATAGATTAGCATTAAAATATTAATATATTTTAAAAATACTTATATATAATACTTACCATGATTTTATCTTTTATTTCTAGGTCTTCTATGAGCTCAAGTATTTTTTCACCAAGATACGCACCTGTATGAGAGTTGTGTAAGGGTATGAAATCAAGAAGAAGAATTTTTATTACCCA